ATGGGGGTTATTGGGTGGTATGGGTTGAAGCCTATTCAGGGGTGAGAAGGGAGGGGTGGGTGTGGGATGAGAGTGGATTTGATGGATCTATGATACCAAACAGATGGGTGTGGATATGATAGCTAGCATGGCTTACAGCTTGAAGATGTTGTAGGGTAACGAAGTCTCACTGACGCGACATACTCTTCTACAGCGTTAATGGATGATACTCAGGGAAGTAAGTGAGCAATTGAGTCTGTTTTTGATGATACTCCGGTGAGTGACTTCAAGTACAGACTCAATTGCTCACTTCCTTCCCTAATTATTATCTACTACCCTATATCACCACCTCTGTATGAAACCTCATACAGCGTTAATGGATGATAATCAGAGAAGTAAGTGAGCAATACAGTTTCTCCTCCAAAGTTTCATATCAGAATGAAGCTTTACAGGAGAAATTGTATTGCTCACTCACTTCCCTGATTACCACCCATTATCCTACATCACCTCCCCTGCATCACCCCCTCACTCCTCCCAATAATAACTCCACATATCCGTCCCCATAAAATCATCCGCATAACTCCTCCCCTTGCTCCCCGCAGCCGCCCCCGCAGCAACAATCAACGGCAAAAAGTGCTCCGCCCCACCGCGCGGATGCATAGTATAAGCGCCCGGCCAACTTCTCCAATGCTCAAACTTGCGTTCCCTCTCCTGCTCGCTCTCCGTCATAGCCGCGTCCGTAACAGCACCACTCCACTCCTTGTTCAGCGCCTTGAACTCTGGGTTCCGTGACGTGCCATCGAACATGAGACGCAGATTGTGGAATGTAGCGAAGCCGCTGCCGATGATGGCGATGTTTTGGGTGCGGAGCGAGGAGAGGGCGCGGCCGATGGCGTAGGATTGGGTGGGGGACTCGGAGGAGAGGACTGAGAGTTGGATTATGGGAATAGCGGCGGTGGGGTCGATGAGTTTCATCGGGACGAAGACGCCGTGGTCCCATGCTGTGGTGATGTTGTTAGAAATTGTGGGGAAAAGAGAAGGTTGGGGAGAACGTACGTCTTTTGTCGTCTTTCTCGCACTCGATACCGGCGTCTTTGAGGGCTTGTGCTACTTGCTCTGCGACTTCAGGACTGCCTGGCGCGTCGTGTTTGATCTCGTAGGATTCTGGTGGGAAGCCGTAGTAATCGTAGAGGAGTTCGTGTTTCGAGCCGCTGGATACGGTCACTTTGCTCGTGCTCCAATGCGCCGTTACCAGCACAATTGCTTTCGGCGCTTCAGGCGTCCCCAGTTTGAGTATCTTGGGTACCTTTGTCTTGAGCGACTTGGTGATGGCGGCGTGCGAGGGGTCGCCGAGTAAGGGCATGGGGCCGCCGCCGTGCGAGAGCGAGATGACGGGTGCGGGACGCGTCATATTGGAGCTGTAGGACGAGATTGGGAATTGCTGGATTCCTTGGAGGGGGTTGAAAGTTGTGTTGCTGGATGAGAGATCCGCGGATGTGGTTCGTTGGAGGCCGAAGATGGTTGCGAAGAATGATGAGGTGCGCGTGAATCTCATGTTCCTGGCAGCTGTAGGGACTGAACGCGGCATATATTCATGCTCAGAAGGAAAGAATGCATTGTCGGCTTCGGCATTTGAGTTGTCAGCGTACGAGTCGTGGGCGTCGGTGGCATGTTGAGGGTTTGTAAGATGGTTTGAGAGGGCGGAATTTTGCCGTGATACAGCTTTGTGCGGCTGGTCCGTGTGCCTGATTACATGTCAACACCATGAGTCGCGACACGATTTACAATACATAGGCACAAAGTAAACCGCCATCCACGTACTACTCTTCACGTTTATATACGGTACCGAGAGCGAATGGCACAAAAATCTTCCTCGAAATTGGCAGTACATTCATCACGGCACATTCACGAACACACAGAACCTTGGAAGTAGGAAGTAGAATGTATCATCGTTGATTCGACTACGCGAAGAGTGCGTGCCATACCCAACAAAATACGTCAAAAGCCCTCATAGCCTTAACACCGGGGTATCATCACTGTCATATCATGCCATACCATCCACCCAGAAACTCCTTTCGCCAACACACAACTCATCATATACCCAAAGGACACACAATGCTATCGTGCGCAACCCAGAAACTCCTGTTGATGTAAGAATACGGTCCCATTGTTGAGTACAGTGACGTGGAAATGCCTACCATTTGCGTGTGTACAACGTCAGGAACTCAGAGCGCCTGCAAGAAGTGATGAGCGTCTCTAGATGTCGTCTTCCATCTCGCCGCCTAACTGACTGTCAGTATTGTTCAACCAGGTCTCAAGGTTTTTGAGGTAGGAGTACTCACCGAGACCGTCGCCGCCGTCGGCGGAGTCTTCGGCAGACTTGTCCTTGACCACTTCTTCCTCAGAGGCGGGCTCCTTCTTGGCTGCCTTCTTTGGGGCGTTTGGGCCCTTGACGGGAACGCGCTTCTTGGTAGGGCCCTTCTTCTCCTTCTTGGCAGGCGGAGCCTTCTTCTTGGAGTCGGACTTCTCGGCCTCAGACTTGTCAGCGGCGGAAGCGGGAGGAGCAACATCCTCGGCGCCATCCTCAGCATCTTCAGGGACCTCGGAAGCAGCCTTGCGCTTCTTAGTGACCTTGGCGGCGGCAGCAGGCTTAGGATCACCACCGGCAGAAGCAGGGGCAGCGACACCGGCTTGTCCTAAGAAGGCGGCGAACGAGGGATGGGCCTCGAGAGCCTTCTTCTTGACCGGGGGCCCTGTGTGATGGGGTATCTCATTAGCGTAGTTCATATGCTACTGATGTGGTAGTACTTACACATCTTCTTGAGTGAGCCAGCAGTGTTGCCCGTAAGCGTGGCCATGACGTCGTAGTCGAACTATCCAGGTTAGCATATAATAGACACCATTCATAATGTGACATACCTTGTCGGGGGCAGTGGAGCTCAGGAAGGCCGCGGCCAGCAGCTTGGTCTCCTTGTCCTGGAAACCGGAGAGCAGAGCCTCACCCGCAACGACCTCTTTCTTGGGAGGCATCTTGACGATGTATGTGGGAGTGGTTTTGATTGAAGAAGGAAGAAGTAAGCTGCAAAGCGCGGAGTTTGGAATGAAGCTGTTGGAAGCTGTGGGTAAAGGGAAGAGGGAAGGAAGAAGGAAGTTGTTGTGAGGGAATAAATGTGGGGTTGTTATTGTGGAAGAAGACGCAGTGAAGTTGGAATTCGCGCAACGCGCAAACGGGAAATTACCTCTAGGTTGTCAAGCTCGAATTCCGACGCTCTCATTCGTCGAGTAGTCGTACGTCCATTGCTGTTGCCTATTCGAGGTGAGGAAAGGTATGGTAGTGATGGGCAACATGAAGGTCATGTGTGGACCTTCGCATGGCAATGCTACGGTGACTACGATTGAGTACCCACGAACACCAGAACATAGCCAAACAATACTCACTAGGGTATATTTTGATATGAGTTGACGTGAGTCGAAATGTATATCTTCAGGCTGTTGTAAGAATAGTCGCAGTATTGCTACACCATATTGACATAAGAAACATGCCGCCACAGCGGGGACCTCGTAGACATTGGCATAATGAGTTTGAGACGAGTGGTATGAGTTTTTGATACTGATGCTTTCGTGAAGAGAAGAAACGACGGCAAGCATACTGAGATGAACATTGAATACCTTGGGATGTCTAAATGTTAGTTGTGATGGAAAGAGAAGTTGAACTGAGCAACGGCGGGTAGTAGACTGGCAACCTACAGACCAGACAATCAGATTCCTTTGGATTTGTCAGGAACGCCCATTTGACGCGTGTTCTGGGCTTCTCATTTCCACATATTTTCGTCAGCTGTAGAGTTCACGATCCGAACAAAATGAAGCCGAGCGAGGGTTCCTTGGCTTGACATCGTTTACCACTACGGCCATAATAGCGACGGGATATCTATCCTTCCGAGGCGAACGCAGCACCAAAGCGACGGGAGGCAATATCAACAATCAAGCAACGGACCGACCAACTCATCAGAACCGGGGATCGCGATGCGGGCATGATACGACGTCGCCTCTGGGCCCCACTTTCCGATGGAGCACACGCAGGCAGCACACGAATCGGGACTGTTGGCGAGCTGCAGGCGTGCAGCCGTTGCCAAGGTCTTGAGTCGACGTGTTGATATCTCGGAGCGGCGCAATTGAGGTTGAGCAATTCGGCGAGGAGGCTGCAATAATCGGATGACAGGCGTAACGTTGCGGTGGGGTGTCTGGCAGCACTACGGTGGCGCTTGAAGCGCTGGCTACGGCATGGTGGTTTACAGCGGGATGGTGGCTGGGGTAATGACAGGAGGAAGCGACATGCAGTCGGTTGGCAACGCTAGCAGTATGGCCGAATAGCCCTGAACATGAGTAAAGCGCCGGTCAGGAGGCGGTGCAGGATCGCGAATACGAGGTGGTGAAGCGGATGAAGTGGTTAAGAGACAGCTATTGCAGGCGTGAGGGAAGTGGAGGCTCATCCGGTCAGTGCAGAGGTGCATGGCTAGGCCCGTGGTGCAAAGAGCGGTAGCCGGGCAGGCCGCAGCTTGGGTGGCACTTCTGGCGTCTATGGGCGGTCGCTGGCTGCGGTGCATGACGGTTTCGGTTCGAATGCGCGTCTAGACATGATCTGCGACCAGCGCTGAGCGGGCCGTGCCAGGAACAGGCGCAATTTTTGTGCGCACTGCCTGTCGGCGCCCGCGTCCTCGACCTGCGACGACGGGACCGTCGACGTTAGCCTTCCATTGCTATATTTCTGACTTGGCTGCTATTTCCCCTTCATCCCTGGGTGGCTTTCTTTTTTGTATAACACGCCTCATCGCACCTGCCGATCTGTCCATCGCTCCTTCCTCCGTCGACAGCAGTGCCCCTCACCAGAAGACATCCCCGCGGAGACACTCGCCAAACAACACGACGCTGCCGATCCATTCCTTCACACGCGTTGGCTATATATCGGCCCTTCTCAAACACACAAGCCAAAATCCGGCGGGCGTCCATCACCGATCGCCGTCATGTCTTCCCACCCGAGCCTCACCAGCACGTACCGTGCGCGCGCCTCACTACCCACGACCGGGCCCTTGGCTTCCTACCTATTGAGCCTCATATCCGTCAAGCAGACGAACCTCTGCCTCTCCGCCGATGTCGAGACGTCGGCCGAACTCCTCCAACTGGCCGAAGATGTTGGTGACTCAATCTGCGTGCTCAAGACGCACTGCGACATTGTCGTCGACTGGTCAGACAGGACAGCACAGGCACTGAGAGAGATTGCCAAGCGGAAATGGTTCCTCATCTTCGAAGACCGAAAGTTTGCGGACATTGGTGGTATGTCATGTTGGCTCGTAGGATGTTCACTGGCGGGGCAGTCTCTAACACAGCACAGAAACCGTACAGAAGCAGTACACTTCTGGACACCACCGCATTGCGCTTTGGGCCGAGATCACCAACGCGCATGTCATTCCTGGCCCGGCCATCGTCACCGCGCTCGAGAAGGCTGCCGATGCCACCATCGCCAAGTACAACACGTCCGTAAACACCGAAATCTCTGCCACACGGCAAATCAATGGCCTCGACGACGATGATGACGAAGAGGACGATCAATTCGTACAACAACAAAGAAACTCGGCGATTGAGTCACCCATCGAGATGGAGGGCGAGGAGAGGCGGCTGAGCATCAAGGCTGCCGACCGCAAGCACAGCGTCGTCAGCGTGACAACCTCGATATCCATGCGCACAGAGAGCATATCGCCGCGTCCAGAGCCAAATGCCAACGGAGAAGAAGTCTTCAACTTGGACGTAGCAACAGAGCTCATCCGACTTGGCCCACCACCGTTCCTCCGGTCGCTTCTGTTGCTTGCCGAGATGAGCTCTGAGGGCCACCTCATGACACCCGAATACCAGAAGCGGACCGTCGAGATTGCACGCAGCCGTCCCGAGTTTGTCATGGGCTTCATTGCGCAACGAAGCTTGAACACCGAGCCAGAGGACAACTTCATTACCATGACACCGGGCTGCCAGCTCCCGCCGCCAGGCCAGGAAGGCAAGAAGCTGGGCGATGCTCTAGGCCAACAATACAACACTCCTCGCAAGCTGATCTTTGAGCAAGGCTGCGACGTCATCATTGTCGGACGAGGCATCGTGCGCGCACAAGACCGCAAGGCGGAGGCAGAACGATACAGAAAAGCTGCTTGGTCAGCCTACGAGGAAAGGATCAAGAAGGCGTAGATGACTTGTCTACGCGCTATCTACTATAGCTGATATATACCCCTGCGATTCGCAGTTAGCATGCTGCCTGGAGCAATTGTGTACTTTGGTGCCTCTTCAACTACAGAAACATCAGATACAGGATATTTTGGGGGCGTTGGAGGTCATTTCCACACACATGAAAACGCATATCACGGCGTTACGATTGCTGGCTCACGTATGAGAATACAACACCACCGTGCATGCACGCGGGATTGATTACAATTTATGCTCCCAAAATGACCCAGATAACCCGTTGTGCTGCCATCACACATGAGCATGGCTTGTTGGCCAGTGGTATTTTCGAACAAAAATGTCATAACTTGACTAGCAATGCCGCGTGTCAAGGTTTCGTGAAATCATATCCTGTCTATTATGGGTAATCTAGCAGCTGCGTCGTATCGCACATTCACGAATGCCTACGTCGCGTGGGTCCAGGCGCGCGGAGATGTGTGGGGAAAGAGTCGGAGCTCGGGCCTAACGCCAAAAAGTTCGCGACTCTTCTCTCGCATGCGCATGCGACAGCTTCCATGTCACTCTACTACGAAGCCGCGGCGGTCCTCGCAAACACCGAGAACACAGGCGGGTCTCTCAAGTCGCGCATATACGGCAAGAAAGACTTGAAAAGCACACCAGGCCAATTGTTTGCGCTCATTGCGGAAACGTCAAAATGGTCCATTGTGCTCAAGGATGTGATTGAGAAGACCAAATTGCTGGCAGAGGAGAGGAAGGTGGGTAGTTTACTGGCAATATTCTGCGTCGCATCCTGATGTTAATGTATTTTGAATAGCTTACACCAATCCTCGCTCTCCTTCTTACCCACGATCTGCTGCTCGCGAAGAACGGTGTTGCGGCAGCCGCCAACCATGTCCTCAAACTCGCCATTACCAGACACAAAGCCCGTCTGAGCGCCGAGCTCACGAAAGCCCGCATACGATACGGATACGCGACTATAGAGGCATTCAGGGAGGCTGTTAATGATGGCGAGCTTGAGAAGGATGAGGGTGATGCGCCCAAGAGCCGCCATCCTCGCTGGGTGCGCATCAATACCGTCAAGACGACGTTGCAGCAACAGCTATCGACCACATTTGCCGGATTTGTCAAGACTGAGGATCTGAGCGAAGTTCTTTCTGCGCCTAAGAAGTCGAAGATATACTACGAAGACCCCAACATACCGAACCTACTCGCCTTACCCTCTAAGATCGATCTAAGCAGGTCAGTCGCGTACACAAAGGGTCAGATTATATTCCAGGACAAGGCTTCGTGCTTCCCTGCCTATCTGCTAGATCCGCAGCCTGACGATGGCGACGTTATCGATGCTACAGCGGCACCAGGCAACAAGACAACACATCTGGCAGCTATCGTATCGGACCGCAGGCGACCGGGTGAAGAACAGAAGGTTATTGCGTTCGAGCGCGACAAGGGCAGAACCTTCACGTTGCAGAAGATGGTCAAGCTCGCATCAGCGGACAGCATCGTTCAGGTCAAGGGCAGTAGCGACTTTATCGCTGCGAAGCCTGGATCCGACGAGTATGCCAACGTCGGTGCTATACTGCTCGACCCCAGTTGCTCCGGTACTGGCATAGTTGGACGTGACGATGCGATCAAGATGCATCTACCAGAATCACCAAACAGTCGCCCAGCACCGCAAAAGCCTGAGAAAGGCAAGAAGCGGAAGAGAGACGACGAGCCTAAGGAAGCTGACCCTTCAGCGACGCTTGACTTGGATATGGATGAATCAACACCTGAAGAGACACCAATGCACGGCAAGCTAGCCGAGCGACTGACAGCTCTATCATCCTTCCAGCTCCACATCCTCAATCATGCTATGCGATTTGAGAACGCGCATAAGATCACGTACTCCACATGTTCCATACATTTCGAAGAGAACGAAGGTGTTGTCTTCCAAGCACTAGCGTCTTCGGTCGCAAAAGAACGGGGCTGGTCGATTCTCAAGAGAGATCAGCAAGTCGATGGAATGAAGAGGTGGCATAGACGTGGGGTGTGGGAGGACGAGAAACTGGAGATTGATGTGGATGAATCTTTGAAAAGTGACGTACTGGAAGCGTGCATTCGGTGTGATAAGGGTACGGAAGAAGGCACGATGGGTTTCTTCGTTGCTGCCTTTGTCAGGGATGGTAGTTCACATTCAGCACCGATCATGGAAACTGCAGTCGCTGAAGTTGAAGATGAGGAGTTCAATGGGTTTAGTGGAGATGAGATGGTTGAAGAGACAGTAAAGCCTGTGGAGACACCGGCGGCTGATAGCGCTGAGAAGCGGAAAAAGAAGAAGCGCAAACACTGAAATATATGAGAGGAATAGGCAGTCGCTCAAAACCTGGTAGCAGAGGAAAGAGTATCTGGTGCCAGGACCTCAGACCTTGAACCAGTACGAAAGCCACCCTTTCACTGCACCATTCAATACACTGGCCGTACCTATTCCTTATCCGCCAAACCCTTACCATTATTCAATGCGACACGACTCCCTATCTTGACGCCCCCAACATATCAACACCAACACCATGACACCCGCCCTCCGTGACAGCCTCTCCAGCCCCCTAACCATATCCACAACCCACACGGCCGCCACCTTCCCCGTCACACCCCCCGTCCACCCAGACCTCTCCCGCCCCCGCCTCAAACAAATAGCCCGCTGGATCCGCGACGAACTCGACCTGCGCGTCGCCCGCGACGGCCCGGACGTCCTCCGCCCAGACGACGTGCTAACCCTGCACGAAACGCTCGTCGCCCTCCGCCAAGCGCAAAACATCACCATCTCCGTCCTGCGCGCAACCGGCATCCACAAAGCTGTGCAAGACGTTGCGGGCGTGGCGACGCGGTGGCCGAGCAGGTTGTGCGACGACTGCGACAAGATTGTAGACAGTTGGACGGCGAAGTTTGGGCCGTTTAGCGAGATTCATCCGTTTTTGTATGGGAGGGGGGGCAGGTTGGAGGGGATTGCTAGTGTAAATGAGTATTCTAGGGAGGCGTTGCTGAAGCGCTGGGCGGAGACTTGTCCGGAGAAGATTCATCCGAAGAGGAGCCATAAATTGGGGGATTTGGGGTTTGTGGCTGGGACGTAAGTTCGACAAAAACGTTGCTTGGATGAGACTCGCAGATGGGGCTGATGTTTGTTGTAGGTGGTGGATCAACCCTCTGTTCGCACATCACGCTGGCATCATCGGGCTTGAGGCATGCGATGGCGGTACGACGTACGACAAACACGGTGCATATGCTCTTCTACTCAAGGATACGGGCGAGATTGAAGCCTCGTCCGAAGAACGCTTTACCTACCGTGTTCCGCAGAATGACAAGGGTAAGTTCCGTCTTACCTCTGCTACACCCAAGAGTCGAGATCCCGTCAGGGTACTTCGCAGCCACAGCATCAACAGCGTCTGGGGACCAAAAGCAGGTGTGAGATACGAAGGCCTGTACAGCGTCCGAGGCTGGTCCATCAAGCAAGCCAAAAGCAGTAACCTTGCTGGTGGGCAATGGAAAGAAGGCGATATCTTATTTGACGTACTCTTTGAAAGAACCGACTCAGTGCCCATGGCGGTAGTCACCAAGCGACCCACAGCGACCGAAGTCGACGACTACGCCGAGTACAAGCGTCTCCGCAAAGTCAACCGAGACGGTAAACGCAAGTCACACAGCACCCTTCCCGTAGGCGCCAACAAAGGCGATTTCTCAACCCCACTCAAGACAGCACCACCAGTCACACCGCACGTAGTCCCCAAACCCCTCCCGACAGACCCCCCATCGCTCGAACCCCGCAAAGGCATATTCAAACACCTCCACTTCGACGAGGAAGCCCACGTCCACGTCCTCGACAAAGAAGACGTCATATCCCCCAAATCCGTCCCCGAAGCCGACCCCCTCACCACCACCGCTACAATGAGCAAAAGCAACACGCTTCTCGTCCCCGCAAAACCCAGCCGCACAAACACACACAGCAAAGCCGATGTATCCACAACAGGCGGCGAACCGCGCAGACACGCCAGTCCCGCGGGTTCAAACGCCAGCAGCGCTCACACCCACGCTTCAGCTACCACGTTCCCCGGCATCAACATCCGTGAAGTCGCACCGTGGATTGACTACGATGCTGATTTGTCATTACCTTCGCCACCGGAAGACTCGACGATTGTGCACCAACGGCCTATTATTACGCAGTCTATTGCTACGGACTCTATCAAAACGAGTATTTCGCGGGATAATTTTGGTACGCCGGTGGAGGCGGATACGTCGAGTCCGGGTGGTGTTGGTGGTCATGGGAATGGGAATGGGAATGGGAGTATTGATGGGGGCAGGCACGGGAGAAGGGGGGATGTTGAGTTTGGGGACAGTCTTAGTCCGCATGGACACGGACACGGACATGGACATGGACTTGGGGTTGGTAACGGGAAGAAGGATGGAGGCAAGAGGAAGAGCATTCTTGTGCGGAATCGGAATCCGGTGGGGAGGTTGTTTGATGGGGTTGTTGAGGATGATGCGGAGGGCGAAGAAGAAGAAGAGGAGGAAGTGGACGAGAAGGTAGGGAAGTGGAATACTCCTACTTTAACGACACCTACGCTCCACGACTTCGCCGACGTTACCTCCCTAGACGACCCTTTTATCGCGGATCCTCCTCCACGGATATCACGACGACCGAGACGGCCCTACGTAGCGACTAGGGATCTCATCTCACGATCTAGAATCCTAACGCCTGTGGGCAGTCCTGTCTGTATCCTTCATCCTGAGCGCGTCGGGGAAGTACAAAAGGAACTCGCTGAGTCAAGCGCAGAAACCACGTTGAGAGACGTGATGAAGAGGGTGGATGGTGGTGTTGAGATGGGTCGTTGGCGTTATATCTAGAACAACCGCAGAATTCCTACTATTATCTTCATGGAGATGGAGATACGCTCACTTTGAACAGTGATGAACCCTGTCGATCCATGTACATTCCACCTCTATTCTTACTCATTCTCATGTCCATCTCCAATCCT